TCCTGACATTGGCGCTATACGGAGGATTGAACCAGATGATGTCTCGCCCGCGCTTCCTCTTGCGACTTGACTGGGTGTTCACATCGTCGTACACAAGCACTCTGGGGTGGCCACTGGCAGCTAGCGCGTCGGCGTACTCAGGCACGGCTTCCTCAAAGACTTCCTTTGAGCTGGAAATCATCGCCAGACGCTTGTTGATGCCAACGGGTAAGCTCTTCAACACCTGCGGTGGGTGGTTGGACTTTGTGCTTACGTAAAGCGGAGTGTCGTTTGGCTTACGGTATGGCTTGTACGTACCGGATTCCAGGCACATGGTTATATCCAGGTAGTTTACTGTGCGCAGGTTGCTTTCTATCGTTATCTTCAGGCCGCACGACTTGAATACTTCGATTATTTGTTTTCTCACTCTGTCCGCTATGGGTCCACTTGCATCCTTCAGCACTGCAAGTCCATCGTCACGGTAGAGCCCCACCGACGTCCAGTCCAGGTGCACAGCTAGCTTGTGGAGGATGTAGGCTCCAACAACTTCACAAGCCTCCGCACCGTCGTATGCACCCATGGTAACGTCGAACATATCACCTCGGTCTTTCTTAGACCATGCCTGACCCTGGGCAAATAGCAGTGACTTGCGGGCATGCATAATCACATTCATGTCGTCGTCGCTGACCTGCACATGCTGCTTAGCGAATTCCAGGGCGTCCTGCAAGAGCTCCTTCGTGATCGACGGGTAGAAATTGACAATGTCAAATACTACAAACGTATGGCGCTTTTTCTCTTCTATGCTCTTGAACCAATTAGTTACATCGGCCGTGCTTCTCCAAAGCATCGCCCCTGTAGCGTCACGGAGCTGCCTTGTAATGTTGGCTAGGGTGCTCTTGCTGACGACGCCTAGCTCACTTTTTGCTGGATTTATTAGGCGGCACGGTAGGGCACGGTGGAAATTCTCTTTATGGTCTTTTAGCGTTATAAAGCATTCGGCCTTGGCGAGTACCTCCGTCCTGTCCGCTATGTCAAGCCGTTCCGCGATTTCCCTTGCCTCCAGGTTGATTTGACTGTACGCACCCTCCGGTGCATGCTGATACGTCTTGGTGATGTTGTCGTGTAACAGTTTTTTGTAGTTATCGACCGTCGTACTATACAGGTTGCGCGTCTTGTCGGCGGGCACTATCACGTCTGGCGAGTTGCTGATACGCTGCAGGTCTTTCTTCATCTTTGCTTGGAGGTCATTTGTTGTCGCTCTGAAGCTAACGTTTTCGATCATTTTGTACAAATCCTCCTCAAACGCCTTTAATTCTTCCACCTGCGGAGGGCAGTTCTTGGTCTTGAAGCCAAAGGTGTTGCGTTCCGGCGCCTTTACATCGCCTTGCTTGCCTTCCTGCCATATCACATTTCTTTTCTCACTCACGGACCATGTGAGTTTGGCACATTTTCCATCCAGGACTTTTTGCACCCACCAGACCTCAAACCTTCACAGACTCTTCCTATGCTGCTGTATAAATACCATACTAGCTGTGCATCACCGTAATCAGTTGTCTGAAGATTGCTATATGGCATGAAACTTTAAGTTACGACAATCAAGACGCGTGGTTTTCCTGTGACTAGTGTGTTACTGCTCTGCTTCCGCATTGAGCACTCTATCGATCCGGAGGACTCCGCTATTTGTTATTTTATTATTATATATATTTTGAGGATTTCCCAAAGACGTAGTCTAAATTGAAGGGAGTTCCATTATAATGGGAGGCTGTAGGGTTGAGATAGCAGACAGTGGAGGGCTAATGATTGGTAATGAAAAGCCTAGCTAGAGAAATACAATTATGCTGAATGTTCCAGAATGGTCCTTTACTCAATAATACCTATAGCCTCGGGGTATGCCTTGAAATACGAATTATACCGAAACAGAAACACAAAAATTAATAAGAATAAGCGCAACGTTCAGAGAAGGAGGACAGAGGCATGTCAGTGAGGAGTGGCATTGTGTTTGGTGTCAGAGAAGTGCGTGCAAATGTGACTGTGAAACAGGGACTGCGAGGCTGTGGCTCTCAGGTCTGCGGGCAAGGCATTCCAGACAGTAGCGGTGCGGAAGAGAAATGACCTCCCGGCGTGTTTCCCAACCCGTGGCAGAGTGAATGCGAGTTGGCGGCGGCGACTACGCGTGGGGCAGTATCCCGCTGCTTCAAAAAGTTCTGGTTGGGTGGTGACCAGATGGAAGAATTCCATAAGGCAGGCGATCTTCCTGCGCCAGGATAGACTTGGCCACCCCAGCTGTTTAAACAATGATGAGTTGGGCTCGTCTGATGGGCAAGGGCATCTCTCAAGCCGCATGACTGTGCGAGCTACTCTGGCTTGCAGCCGTTCAAGGGTGAGCCGCTGTGCAGCAGAGAGGGAGGACTCCCATACTGGGGCGGCGTATTCTGCTGTGGGGTGGACATACGTAATGTACAGCTTCCTGACGATGTCTCCTGTTAAACGGTCAGCCATATGGCACAGAAGAACGCAGCGCTGTCTAAACTTGCTTATTGTCTGTTCAATATGCTCCTGGAAGCTAGGTGTTTCACTGAAAAACACTCCCAGGTGACGGTGACTGGTTGATGGCTGGATACCGCGGATGGTCTCTGCGGCTCCTTCCTCAGCGAATGAGATAACAACGGTTTTCGATGGGTTGAAGGTTCCGCCTTTCCGCAATTCTAATTCCGCAATTCCGCAATTCTAATGTTGTAGCGTTGTTCTCTTGTAATTTAGTGGAATCTGTATTGAGTAACTGAGTTTTATGTTTCGTTACATTGTCGACAGATCTCCTGTGTACCGGTTTTGTGGCACAATGATTATAGCCATTTGTCGTCTCCATTCTTGTGCAATCATGCATATGTAGGTTGGTTCTCTTCAACAATTTTGACTTTGTCTTCAGACTCAGAGCACATCATCTGACTGAGTCGTGTCGTGTCATGATGTATCACGTAATGTGAGCGAAGTGTGAGAAACTGAGCTGTGTTCGAGTCAGCGAAGTGTGAACCACAGAGCTGAGTTAGAGTCTATGGCCTCTTTTACGGGCAAACAGAATACAATTGACAGTGGCATGGCGAATGATTAGAACACAACACCAAAAAATGAAAACAATTGTATGTGTGAAAAAACGCAAAAACGAGAAACAAAAAAAAAACAAAACAAAAAAACACCAAAAACAAAAACAAACAAAAAACAAAAACCAGGAAAATACAAGGGCACTGTCCTGCCCACCATCGTCTCCAAAACCTCACAGCCGGCCCTCCGAGATTGCCAACTCTCGCAATGCATTCACAGGACGGTGATATGACGATCGAGCACCGCGGATGCACATGATCGCCGACCGCAACAATGCAAACGCCAGTCGACACCGGACATATGTCATTGTCTGGGCATACAACTTCGTGTCCCCACTCGAAATGAGGCCACACAGGCGCTTAACAAATCTGGAGCACTCTGGCGCACAACAACCGGCCGTGGTGAAAACTAGTGGAGTAAATGTCCCACGGTCCACATTGATGATGCGCTCAGCATACTGCAGCTTCTTCTTCCTCTCATGCTCCGCCAACAGTTTGTCGAGAGGTTTGGTGGCATAGGACGGAGCATCAGGATGAAAAACCCGTTGGTTCTCTTCATGTTCATGTTATTGTGACCTATTTCATAGATGTTGGTTGCCTTGTTGTTTGTTTTCTCTCCCCTCTCCTCTCACCCAAGCCATTCTGCATAAGCGAAGCTATGGACGCAGCATACTGCTGCTACACTTCAACGCGGGAATGCGTATAATAATAATGTTCCGCCTACCCGGTCGGCCCAGGCTAATTTTCCTCTGACTCTGAGGGGCCGTTTACATGAGGAAAATAAGCCCGGGCTTATTCGCCTCGGGCTTATTCGCCTCGGGCTTATTCGCCTCGGGCTTATTTTTCAACCGTTTACATGACGGTTGTACGGGGCTGAGCTCAGGTGAGTGACTGCGAGTTCTGCGCGCATTTTATTTTTCAAATCGCACATGAACGCAGTGGTAAATATTCGTGTCTGATGAAATTTGGATCAAGAAATGCCGGCTCAGGTTTCTACTGCCTTTCCAATTGTCACTTATTTTTCGAGAAGGTGAAGGATGGGCTAGGACCTTCCACTGGACAAAAACCAGAAGAAAACATACCAAGAAATAAATAAAAGAGACGCACTGTCCACGGCCACATTCTCTCAGGTTCACGAGGCAAAATCGAAAAATACGGAAAAACTCGCTTATAAGCCTACTCAAGCTCAACTGATGAGGGGTGAATTCCCCGAAACACTGTGTATTGAGCAGGGAGTGGTGCTTTCTTTCAGGTTTGCCGAGCGGAAGGTGCGACGTGCTCCTCGTGTGCTCCGGATGGCAGTCGTGAGTCAGTCAAGTGTCAAGTTCGGCAAGAAGCGTGTGCTCCTCGTTGGAGCAACCAATTTCATGTATTTTTTTATTTTTATTTTTTTTACTATGTTCACATAACCAGCTCGAAAAGAATAAGGAAAGACAATGGTACGGAGACTAGGACAAACGTGACAACTAATGAGCAGGCGCCGAGACGCAGCAGTGATGGTGGGGCATTGATGACTCTGCCGACCTGAGTATATTGTAGTAATAATATAATCAGGATTACCGCTACCAGCGTACCAAAGGCAAGTAAAATTGTGGCGCAAAGGAGCTCGGCTGGCGCGGCCGGTCGGTGCGGGGCCGGGGCCCGGGGATCGGAGAGAGTACTAAAATAACATATTTTTGAGACCAGCGCGCGGTTGCAAGCTGTGAGCTTGAACCTGGTACAAAGTGTGAACTTTGAACCCGCACTTCACTACAGCTACAGATCGATAGTGCAAAGTCGTTGATCTAGGTATGTACGAGCGCGTACAGTGCAGGCCCTGTTGCTATCACCACACAGTGCCAGTGGTCCAAGCAAAAGAGTTAGAGAGAAGTGATTTTTGGTAGAGAGAGAGGAGTTTGTTGTATGTTGGTTTTGGTGGGCAACGAGGCCCGAGTCGTGTAGCTTGACCTGCCAGGAGGAAGGATCCCGCACACGATCTGGGGACTTTCGTTCCTGCTCTAAGTTGAAGGATGACGCGGGTAAGTCTATTTTCAAATTGACTAGAACCGAGAGGGGTGGTGAATGCATGCAGTGTTGTTGCACTCGCACAATATTAATTTTTTCTTTAGATTTCAAAACAATTCCGCTCAGTCTCCAGGTAGCTACTCAGCAACTCCAGCTGTTTCGACCTTCTCCGGTCTCATCAGCCGAGCTCTAGCTTTCATTGTTACAGTGGCTGCCCAAACGAAGTCCAATAAACAACACAGCAAAACCCCCCAGCTACTGTAGTACTTGAACCGGGGGGGGGGGGGGGGGGGGGCATCCAGGGCCATTTTGTCATGAAAGACAGCTGGTAACAATAAACATGTAATTGTTATTCGTACAGACATGTGATTCGAATCATAATTTATACGAAAAAGTCTCAAAAGCCAAAGTCTGCGACTTTCTGGGACTGCCTTTGTGGCACCGTCAATAGGGTTCCGAAGTGTGACGTCAGGTCACTGACAACTTCGTAGTAACTGGATACAAACAGCCATTGCGTCCCCCTGTATTCGGTGTTTTGCATTGCAGTGAAATTTTCAAATTTTACTTATGGCCTGAGCAACTTGCCTCCCACCGCTTTAGGAGCTGCATATGCGCCTTGATCTTTGAGGGTGGTGGCGCCCCAGCGGATGCGGAAAATTCGGTCTCCAGCCAAGTCTCAAACGAACCGCGGAACTTTTCTTTCTTGTACAAATTATAACTTAAAAATAAAACAACAAAATATAACTTTTCTTTCACTGGCGGTGAGAGGTAATTCTACGCGTTGCATCCTTTCTTGTGATTTAGGACATCTGACTTTGCTCTCTTTTCGAGGCGAAAAGATTCGGAGGCAAGCGGGAATTCAAGGTTGATCAGACTCTGAAAGGTTTCGCCCAGCTCGTTGCAGAGCCTTTTGTTTCACCTTCGAAATGCTGGAGAGACCAGTCATTGCGCAGTTAGCTTAGAAAACCTCTAACTATCAACAAGAGACACCTACAGTCCATTTCAAAAATATAGACGCATGGTATTTTAGAAATATTTCCAATTCGCCTGGAGATTTTTGAGAAGTTTGTTCGGAATATTCCTCAGGTCCTTCCTCCAACTTTTCTCATATGGATTTTAACCCTTTGTGCGTTCAACGAGCGATTTCGCTCGTTGAGTACACAGTGACACTAAAAAAAGTATATCTCTGGTGTTCCTTCGCCGATATTCATAAACAAAGCATCTACGTTTCGAGGGGACTCGTGACCTTGGCTATCACGTCGAAGTTATCCGAAGTCTCTACGAGGTACAATGCCGCCGTGGTGAGACTCGAGGTCGGAGGAAAACTGACAAATTCATTCACACTGCACTTGGCAAGGGTTTTCCCCGGAGTGCTACGTCATACTCAAGCATGCTGCACACCAAAATTATGCGCTTGAAACGAGCTTTTCACTGTAGTTTGTTTGAAGTCGATGTGATGAAGGAGCATTGATTTTTTTTTTTTTTTTTTTTTACTAGAGCCACGTAAACCCGTCATGTGTGAGCCATGAATAAGGGGAGTGGTGGCGTGGTCTGGGATGCTGACGAATGGCGGCTGTTTGAACTTTGCTGGAGTTGTTCGCGCGCGCGCGCGGCTGCTGTTTTGAGAGGCATTCTAGGCCACGCAGAGCAGAGGCCATGCAGGTAGCTGGCTTGAGTGTGGTATTAGTCGCTTCGTCTTGGAAATCCCTTTCCAGCGGTGTCGACTTTGTAAAAATCGGTGAATGTTTGGCAGAGATACAAGCGAAAGTGCATGTTATTTGAAGGTGAGTAAATAATTGCCGTACCTTCAGTGGACTCACAAAGGGTTAAGAGATCAGATAACAAACGACAAATTTCGAGATTTTTATGCACAAAGTGATCACAGAATGATTTAATGTGGCGTACTGTATTTTTTAGGGCTGAAACGATCATTCAATAACTCCTAACGATCAACCAATATCATTAACGATCGATATATTGGTTTTATCGATTCTTGTCGGCTCTACTTGTGTACCTCGCACACCAGTTTATGAAGAAATTCCAAAATACCGTTGGTACATTAGAAATTTGTGGCACCGCACTGTTGACACCTGTGGAAATCCGGCTGGTTTTATCAACATGAACTAGAGAATTTCATGTTGTTTCTAGAGCAAAGAATCTTGTCATCACCCTCTGACAACTGCTCTTATCTCCAACCTCTCACACAAATGAACCAAAAAGACAAAGTCTTCCCTCCAGATCTCTTTCAAAGCCACAAATCAATTTTACCGCGCTTGGAAGTACATGATTGTACTCGTATTCAGTATCGGATGGAGTGCAAGGGCTAGAATAATGTCACTGATATGCATGCATAATAAATCGTTAGCACTCGTTTTGAACACTAACGATTATCGATTGCACTCTTAAAGGGGAAGTTAAGGCAAAAATTAAAATTTCACCAGTTGTAGTCTTCGGGGTGCTGGGTCCAATGGTCGTGGTCCGAGGAAGCTGAGACGCTCCCTTCCTACTTGAATCCCAATCGAACTCGCGCACTTCCACCGAAACTGGGTGACTGCGCCCTACTAGATGGGGATTTGTATGCAAAATGTCACTAAAAGCGCCATTTCGTTCTTATAAAAGCACGGATGACCGCGATTGGCCCATATGTTGTAGTCTTTTGGACGCTGAGTCGACTGGTTTTGGTCCGAAAAGGCTGCGATGCAGCGTTCCTCCTTTATTCCCAATCGAACATGGTTGAACAAGTGGTCACGTGCTCCTGGGTGCCCAAATCACCTGGTCACCACGTCAGCAGGCGACAACTTTCACACCAAGGTTCAACTCGAGTTCAACTCGAGTGACAGGACTGCACCCAAAAAAGGTCAAACAGGCTAGTAAGTTGTACCCTGCAGGCACGGTGACCAGGTGACTGGTGTACACAGGAGCACGTGACCGCTTCTTCAACCATGTTCGATTGGGAATAAAGGAGGAACGCTGCATCGCAGCCTTTTCGGACCAAAACCAGTCGACTCAGCGTCCAAAAGACTACAACATATGGGCCAATCGCGGTCATCCATGCCTTTATAAGAACGAAATGGCGCTTTTAGTGACATTTTGCATACAAATCCCCATCTAGTAGGGCGCAGTCACCCAGTTTCGGTGGAAGTGCGCGAGTTCGATTGGGATTCAATTAGGAAGGGAGCGTCTCAGCTTCCTCGGACCACGACCATTCGACTGAGCACCCCGAAGACTAAAACTGGTGAAATTTTAATTTTTGCCTTAACTTCCCCTTTAACGATCGATATGCGAGTTGCCGGTATAATTGTTTCAGCCCTAGTATTTTTCCGGTTGTAAGTCGACCTTTACGACTAAAAATAGAGGGAGAAAGGGCGGGGGCCGACTTACAACCGGGATTTGACTTATAACCGGGAACTATCAGTATCTTACAAAAAATGACCTGCACAGCATGCACGAATGCACCAAGTGTACACATTTTGCCAGTTTATTGGCCTTTTTCAAGGATTGGGACGTTATACACTCAAATAGGGGATGTTTACATGATTTGTTGATGTGTTAGTAGCCGGGAGTGTATTCGGTATTGGCCAAAATGGAACTGTCGCCAGCCTCCTTAATTGGGAGCTCGTGGCCTGGCACGAGGAGAACATGGATGCAGTGAATGGGATTTTCGGTCTTTGACCACTTGCTGGTGAGCTGGTCTACTCACCTCCCACCGCTTTAGGAGCTGCATCTGCGCCTTGATCCTTGAAGGGTGGTGGGGTTCCTACGGATGCGGAAAACTCGGTTTCCGGCCGAGTCTCACGCGAACCGTGAATTTTTTTTGTACAGTGAGTGTGCACTTGCGCTAAATAGAAGGTGTACGTACAGTAAGCACGTGGCTGTGATTTTGATTCACCGTTGGAAAACAGCGCACTCCGACTACCCGATCGGGTTCTTATGAGCAAACTGCTACCCGAATACCCGCTCTTGTTACGGTTGGCATCGGTACCCTGCTACGTGACTACACCCCTACTTTCAAGCATACAGATCCATGATCGGTGTGGGATAATTGATATCACAAATGATGTTTTCATTCGCTGTGTTATTGTGATGTACAGTGGTCGGCGTACTTGCACCCTGCAGTGATGCTACTGGTGCTAACACTAATGCTTTCTACAACATGTGATGCTGGTAAGTACACCCAATGACTAGAATGCATTTCAAAAGTACAGACTTCTAGACTTTTTCGAATAATTCAAACCTTTTATGCAATTCAAACGTGGTTTGATCTTTTTGACAAATTTCTACGGAATATTGCTCAGGCAACTCGCGCAATTTTCTCATAAAAATGTCTAACCGATTGGATAACAAACGCACAATTTCGGAAATGTTATGCGCAAAGTGTCGTGAAGCGATTGGTTATGTTTGAATTTAAGTTGTATTTGACCCTATGCTACTTTTGTCGGCATTCTTTGGCTACGCGCATGTATGATGTACGCTTCAGGTAGCTGCTAGAATGCTATACATAAGTTGTACTCAGCTACTTCAGGTACACATATCGCTACATTTGAATTGAACCAGCCGGCAGTTTATCATGTTTCTTTAGGCTGGCGTGATATTGTTGTTTTTAATTGCCTTTTGAATTAGTTATTGTTCTGTGCCCAGTTGGGACAAGTTTGGAAGTGAGACAGAGTTATTGGAAGTAATAATTATTATTCTGGATATGTTTGCAATGAGTGTTTGACTTAGAGTGAACTTCTGTGCATAGAGCACACAGCTATAGCTGCGTGTTGTAGAGAATCTTACGGATTGCAGCATCCAGATGCTGCCCATGCAATAGTTCCCAATAGTAATAATTTAGTAATAGTTTGAACCAGGTCACGACACAAAGTGATCACAGATTTTATGTCGTATAGATGCTGGCCTAACGTTTTTTGAAACCGGGGTTGTAGGAAGCCTCAAGACTTCCTTTAAGAATAATACAGTTGTTCGTTTACATCAGTTTGAGAGTTGCTTTTGACTTTGCACAGAATGGAGATCTTGTGGTCATCTCAAGACAGACTATACGTTTGACGACCATCGTAGAAACTTTGCGGAAGCTGCGAACTATTGCAAGAGCCTTGGGAAGGGCAGCAATTTAGCAATTCCACGTAGCGACGCTGAGCTTCAGTGTATCTTCAATACTAAACCCGCCCGAACTACAAACTGGATTGGCTTTCGATCATATTTGGTTCACCCACCATTGAAGTTTGTATCAATTGATGATAACCAAACGATTACGTACTCGAAATGGGCCAAGAATCAGCCAAGTCCACCTGACCATGTCACACAACTGTGTGTATCAATGTGGTATGCACCTTCACACAATACCAACGGTGAATTCTGGGATAATGCCGAATGCGAGGCCAAACTCCCGAGTGTGTGTCAACAACCAAGTAAGTATGTGGGTGTGCAAACACACACACATGCACGCACACACACACACACACACACACACACACACACACACACACACACACACACACACACACACACACACAAACACACACACACACACACACATGTTGTGGAAATAGTATTGCCTTCTCCCCCTGGCCCCTGTCACACAACAGCGCAAACAACTTGGTGGAGTTTCTGACTTCTTATACAAACGGAAAGGGCACAGGAGGAGAAAGACGAAAAGACTAGACAGAAAACGACGACGGGAAAAGACACCCGGGAAAAGACTCCAAAGAAAACAAAAAGAACAAGCAGTAATATTGCGACGACAAATCGGGACGACCAATCAGGGACTAATACGTACAGAACACATGACCAAGACCAAGACAACCAGACCACGGACGAATCACACATGACTCTCATTCCCAGACCAAACTAGCACTGCACATGTACAGCATTCACTTGACAGTCACACTCACACAGACGGAAGCACATCCTCACACTCTGACAACGCGTACTCTTGCATGCACCACATACCATAAACGTCACACATCACACCATATTCGCGTGTACACCTAGACCATATATGACATCAGACACTGGACTCCACCAGACAAGAACCAAATACAACGGCATGCGTAAATCATATTCGTAACATAAATTCGCAACATAGCCCTCCCCTCCGGCGAGAGTCGACCTCGACTCTAGCAAGTAGGAAAATGCTTATTACAGTTATATGCACCACGAGAAAAAAATGGAGTAGGAGAAAAACAAACGGGATGAGCAGACACAATAACAGGAGAACAGACTGAGGAAACAGGACAACGTCAAGTGGCTGCAGACGTGGAGATGGGAAAACCTTGGGTGTGGTTCCACGAGGTGGTGCGTCGTACGACCTGCCCATTTGGATGTGGAAGATGTGTATAACATGTACAAATCACACAGACGGAACAGCAGAACACAGCAGGCATGTCAAACAAACAGTGAGGACGGTATGAACAACACAAACAACTGGTCACCAATACGCAAATAACCAGGGACTTGAAAACGCAGGGACCCCGCCTGCCAAAACCTATCAAGCGACCCATCAAAAAACGAAACACGGAAACAGCTCCGCTGCACCCGCAAGGTAGACCATTACAATGCAGGGATCCTCCCAGCTCACCGGGTAGGCCGTGGCTCACCATGATCGGGCGCCCACCACGGCAAACTGGGGAGACCCGCAAGTCGACCCAAAACGAAAAAAATACGCTCACTGAAAGACTTCCCTAGCTATGAACCAAGTGTATCCTCGTAACCAAGAAAACTGGCCAGTACAAACCACCGCAAGTATACACTCACTGACTCGAAAAAACCACGTTCACTGAAAGCATAACCCATGGCGGGTGGAGTACTACGACGCTCGACACAAACAGAATCGCCCACACAAGGTAAAGACCGACTACCGAGATTGTGAAAATACTATATTGTATATACAACAAAATAGGCGGGCAACTGAATAAACTACAGCGAAATCCATAACTGGGATCGAGTCACCGGGAATTTGTTCGCCTGACGAACGACCACCAGCATCATCGCCAATGAGAAGCCGGTGAGAAGCCTGGTTGACGGCTGCGTGACGAACAACCCTCCAATCCATAATATCTTGTCTCCAAAACGAGAAAAGAAAAACGTGCAAGGGCATGGCCCAATAAGAATAGACAAAACGAAAAAAACAGGGTAACGGCGAGCACAAACTACTGGTGGTGAAGGAGAATCGTGGGTTCGAGCCAATCATCACGTCGGGCGCCAATGAAGTAGGCTTCTCCCCCTGGCCCCCGCCACACAACAACGCATACTCTTGATAATATCTGCAATACTTATATTATACCAAGAAATGACGAGGGCGCAGGAGGAGAGAGACAAACTTTGTGAACGACGGGAAAGACTCCCGGGAAAAGACTCAACGAAAACAACAAAAGAGCAAGCAGTAATATTACGACGACAAATCGGGACGACCAATCAGGGACCAATACGTACAGAACATATGACCAAGACCAAGACAACCAGACCACGGACGAATCACACACGACTCTCATACCCAGCCCTCAGTCGGTAGAGCATGAGACTCTTAATCTCAGGGTCGTGGGTTCGAGCCCCACGTTGGGCGCCAATGTTGTGGAAATAGTATTGCCTTCTCCCCCTGGCCCCTGTCACACAACAGCGCAAACAACTTGGTGGAGTTTCTGACTTCTTATACAAACGGAAAGGGCACAGGAGGAGAAAGACGAAAAGACTAGGCAGAAAACGACGACGGGAAAAGACACCCGGGAAAAGAATCAAAGAAAACAACAAGAACAAGCAGTAATATTGCGACTACAAATCGGGACGACCAATCAGGGACTAATACGTACAGAACACATGACCAAGACCAAGACAACCAGACCACGGACGAATCACACATGACTCTCATTCCCAGACCAAACTAGCACTGCGCATGTACAGCATTCACTTGACAGTCACTCTCACACAGACGGAAGCACATCCTCACACTCTGACAACGCGTACTCTTGCATGCACCACATACCATAAACGTCACACATCACACCATACTCGCGTGTACACCTAGACCATATAATGACATCAGACACTGGACTCCACCAGACAAGAACCAAATACAACGACATGCGTAAATCATAGTCGTAACATAAATTCGCAACACACATACACACACACACACACACACACACACACACATGCACACACACACACACACACACACACACACACACACACACACACACACACACACACACACACACACACACACACTTGTACTTGTACTTGTTGCTCACTGCCAAAACTGGTCACGTGGGTCTCCCCGGGAGAGGGGAGAGAGACTCAAAAGGAATCTTGGAAAGATGACTCAACTGGCTATTGAACCGCCCAACGGCCGACAGCCCCTGAAATCCCCAAAACTCTGGGTGGACTTGAAAATGATCCCACTTGTGGGCTCACCACACCTCAGTAAGTGGGTGAGGACAAGGTGCAGAAAAGGGATTGACGGCATCAGGGTATCCATCCCGGGATCCAATTGCAGTCACCCCTGCCCCCAGTGAAGGTAATACTTGCTATGGGTGGCTAAATCAGAGTGGATCTGATCTAAGCGTCACTAGCACCATTGATTACACAGGAGTTAATCTAGCAGGTACGCGAACCAATCAGATTTTTTTTAATTTTTTAATTTTTTTTAAAATCTAGCCGGAAGCAGTCCATGGTTAAGAGGTATGTATACTTCAAATAGAAAGTATATGAACCCTGAAGCCAACAAAGGTGGCAGATACAACAATACACCTTCAAGCAGCCGAGCCTGTTGGCAATAGACCCAACACAATCAGGCATATGTGTACCACCCAACCGAACTAGCTGGCACACACACACACACACACACACACACACACACACACACACACACACACACACACACACACACACACACACACACACACACACACACACATTAACCCTTTGAGCCCGAAGCACGAGTTTACTCATGTGCAACGGCGCCATTTTGTGCAGTGCATACACACCACTGTTCAAATTGTCGTAACTCCATTACCCTCTCTCCGATCGCCAAGCATGAGGGCCCATTGGAAAGCTGAGAGAAGAAGCTTTCCAACGATGAATCGTTTGATATAGCGTGATGAAAAATCACTGAGCGCCGAAGAGACAAACACAGATACGCTTCAATTTGTTTCAAATTGCGTGCGTGGTGAGCACGGTAGTGCTCAAACGGGACTTCCCCTGTGACTCACGATTGCATAGCGCATGCGCACTGGAGACCAAATGAATTGCTTGAGCTTCAGGAATCCGGAGGACTTTGAATCACCGTTCTAGGTTTAGTAAAACTTCAGAACCGATGAAATTTGTGGATGTGCGTACAGTATCTCGCTTAGGTGCAATAGGGCAGCTCTCGAAAGACATGATGAAGGCGATTCTGTTGCACCTGTTGAGTATTTAGGGGCGATATCTGGGGAGAGGAGATCTGTAGCTTTCCAAAGAGACCAAGATGGAGATATTCCAAATCTGGTGAGTGAAATTAGATAATTTTGAAATCCAAACTGGGACTGTCGAGCGATCGCACACCTCTGCCCGAACACTGTAGGAATCCATGGATGCTGTGCTAGAGCTCAAAGGGTTAACTTGCTTCCCCTCCAACTCCTATTACCGTACTGGCAATATATATGGTCGCAGTGAGGCCATGAAGCGTTACATTGGCACATGTTTACCGCACGCAGGGCGTTACATGCAAAGTCGCACAGGAGCCGTTACACAGGTTTCTATATTGCCGCAGTCCTTTTTTTGCCACTCGGTACACGTGCTTTCACAGTTTTCAGCCTTTGCAGTGCAAACTGCAATGAAAAGATCGCCGCACCCCGCCGGACGCGCGTTACGAACGCAACGAAAATTTGTCGCACTAGCCCGGTCGCGCGTTACGCCGCACCCCCCTGCGTTACGCGGCAACATATTGCCAGTACGGTACATTTCCTTAATCCAAACCTGCAAACATGGGCTCTTTGCTGCACACATCACTTTAAAATAGGCAAACCAATTAATTATCCATAGAAATGGAGCGCTGATCGACTCGCATCCAGCATTCCGAGCTGCAGGGGCGATATTTTGAGTATTTGTATGCATTTTGATGTGTGGCTAATACACAACGGAAACACACAGAAACTACAGTCCATTCATTGGAAAGTGGCACTCTAACATTTTGGTGTCTCCCACGTATACAGTTGCAGATATTTGAATTGTATTTATTGGCTCAGTGCCCGAGTTAGATATTGGGAAAACAACAGTACACTCTGCATTGTGTGACCCGTGCAATTACTGCTTTCCCCATTTGAGGCCGGACAAGTCCAAGGACAGGGAATTAGAAATTCGGATTGAGAGCCAAGGATTGATTCATAGTAAGAAAAGGACCAGGGGTACTACAATTTATGCTATAATGTCCACT